ACAAACATGTGGCCACATAATTTTATTTAACCCATTTTTAAAAGCTTGTCTCTGATGCCTGGATTGTCTTGCAAAATACTACAAAAGATATTTTGTAAGTTCTTCTTATATAAACTTTCAGGATTTTATTGGTGATGACAGATTATATTGACTGATTGTTCTGGAAGGACAGACAAATAAAAACTGGAGGATGCTGAGTAGAGAGGGTGGATGTGAGATGAGGCAGTAAGAAAGTAGGCTGATAATAGAAACTAATAATAAGATCATCAAGAGTTAATTCATTTGATTAGTTTCATTATTTTTATTTTAATGTTTTGTTTTTGGTGAAGGGATGATTAAAATTAGACTTTCAGCAGCGACTAGTGAAGTGAAGAAAAGAAAGAAGAAAAAGGTGTTTCTTTAAAAGATCAAAGTTCAACCAGTAACAGCACGAGGTGGAGGAGAAGTGAGAGAGTCGTCTTTTCTTTGGCAGTTAATGTTGCTGTGCCCACAGTTCCTTATAGTGGTGAAAGATAAGTAAGCACTGAAGCAGCTGCTACTTAGACAGAACTCCTTAATGCCATTTGCAAGTCAAATTCACCTTTTAGTCTGGTAAGAGGACACAGGAGCATTTTCGTCTTCAGGATGTTATATTGCTGACGTGCTCTTGGAAATATCAGTTTCAGTTCCACAACAAAAAATTTACTCCTGTCATTATTTTATCAATGCAAACGTGGTCATTTGTACTCAGTGTAAACCACAGCAGTAAGACAGGAAGGCAAATCAGAGACATCAATGGTTATTCATACACTTCCTCTCATAATACCCATTGTGTTGTCTATTGTCTATTCTCTGCTCTGCTGACTATATACAATATTTTGAAACAGAAGATACATCCATGCATTTCGCAATCACTACTGGAGATACTGCAAAGTTGGCTCCCAATCCCAGATGTAAGTCAGAGCTGTGGTCAAGATAAGCGTGTGTATTAATGCAGCAGAAAGAAAAGTGTGCGCAGTATGTGTTTTGGGCTTTGAGGGGACTCACGGTTTCTGCACTCAAAGCTCACTGGCTGACGAAAACAACAGTTTACAAGTAAAATTAAACTTTT